ATGTAGGACAAGAAGAATATTTCTTCTCTTAGTCACTCTCTCTTTGCCTCTTTCTGTCTCTCTTTGTCTCTTTCTGTCTCATTGACATTCTCTGTGATACACACATACTAATATGATGACACTAAATAAAACTCAAAACTCCTGACAGCAGGGAGAGGAAACAAAGGAGAGGCAATAATTTGAAATACTGGGAACAGATACTTATTATCCAAGTGGATATTGTGATTTTTGAATAGTTCTGTTGATAATGTACACGTCCTCTAGATGAAGGATGTTTATGTTATATTGGGTGAACAGAACCCTGTTAGTAGTTCTGCATCTTTAATCATTTTTTTATCCCCAATCTTTCCTCCTATGTTTTATATATTAAAAGATGTAATTGCCTCAGGATGGTTCTTGCCTAAAACAAACAGCACAAATACTTATACTATTGATCATGAAGAGGAAGTTGTTTTATTTTTCCATTTTAAAATGAGAATGATAAACATGCTTTTAAAGTTTAAAGATCAAAACTATTTATTATTTATTGTTATCTACTTATCCATTATGCAGATGCTTTTAAGAAGCTAGAAAGTCAACAACTGGCAAGAATGGTTTATTAGGGCATGAATTTGAAATAGATCCCTAAGGGAAAAATGAATCCAGCTTATATTATGAGAAAATGTGAAGAGTCATTGATTCATATTATGCTGTCGTGCTATTCTATTAACTAAGGCAAAAACAAATTCTCTAGTCACCATTCTCATTTTAACATGAGTAGGAAGGTATTAGTGCAGTCGCTGGGGTTCAAAAGTTAATAATAAACCTGAATCAAGAATAATTTCAAAAGCACCCAGACAATAAAAGGCAGTGGAGAGTGAAAATTCAAATGTAGCAGGACATTATCTGATTAGAAATCTGTTCTCATTGTCCTCCACCAAAACGGCCCACAAATTGCTGATGTAAAGTCTAGCATCTATGATGGGATTGAATTTGTACCCAAAGGTGGTGGCTCAGCATTTCCTTTCCTCTTTCTTTTTAAAACCCCACATTACAAAAGGGCATACGGCAACACATTTTACTGTTAAATATGATGTGAGCCTGTTGGAATATTGCCCATTCAAAAGTGTCACTCCAGCAACTCACCCATGGCTTCCACTTCCCAAGAGGAGTTTTCCCATACAACCCTCCTCTTGTAGAATGCTGTGCTCTAACCACAGGGTACAAGGAAGACAGGCTCCAATGCTATTCTAAATTCTGAATAGTTTGAAGTTGCAACTCCGAAACTAACATAAATTCCATGCATTGCTTTGTTTGCACAGTGGCACTTACAACACTCACTTTGGAATCTAAGCAGAAAGCAGCCACCCAATACTGCTGCATTCTGTCTTTCATCCATAGTAAGACAGTTCAAAAGGAAATCACCACCAAGCAAAGTAACAGTGGTGAGAGCTGACCTCCCATTCACAGCCATCATACCATCTTGTGTTCACAGTCTGCAATCGTTTCTGTATCTATTCATCCCTGCTCATACTGTTGTTCTGCCCAATGTAGCCAAGCGATGCAGGGGGCAAACATTTAGCAAATGCCAATGTCTCCCCTCAGCACTCACCCCTCATCCACAACATGCTATTTCCACTGCCAGTTCCATGAACTGTCAAGGGTCTCACATTTTGGAGACATCATATTAGTGTATGTCTATCATGCAGAGAATATGAGTGAGACAGAAAAAGATTCATAGAGACAGAGAGAGAAAATAGAAAGAGGCAAAAAGAGAGTCTGAAACAGGAAGAAATATTCCTTGTGCTCTGTGCATAAATGAGTAGAAACTTCTTCTGTTACTGGCAGCTTTTGGGATGAATGAATCATGTTTTGAACACGCACCCTGATAATTTACAGCCCACTGATTTCACAGCAAAGACAGACCATTCTGTGGACTTCAGAGAACAATTCATTGTCTTCAAGACCACCTACAACTTGCATGTGTGTGCCGTCATTCAAAATTATACCAACTCAGCATTTCCATAAATTCATCTTCTATACATAAAATTCACAGCAGTGTAACTGACCAAATCAAGAAATCTCTTGTGCTTAGAATGACTGCAGTCAAACACGATTTATTGTATATTTCAAAATAGCTAGAAGAAAGAAGCATTTCTAATGTTCCCAACACAAAGAAATGATAAATATTTCAGGCGATGAATATAACTAATTAAGCTGATTTACTCATTACACAGTATATGCATGTATCAAACATCACCCCTAAATATGAATAATTTGTATATGAAATATGTATAATCATTATGTATAAATTTAAAAATTAACAAGAAAGGGAATATTCTGTGATTCTGTGCTCAAAAGTGTTGGTTTTAAAGTCACTGATACCTTTAATAACTAGAATTCAAACACAGGTGGTTTGATTCTGTTCTGATCTTTCATTTCCTCCGTAAAAAAAGTCTAGAGAAATAAAGCCTGCCAAAAACAAAATCCATGTTAAAAATTAAAAACTACAAAATTTAAAAATAATAAAGCCTTAAGCAGAGCCTTAAGTATTAAAGGAGACTCTGACTGTTGAATGTAAAGTGATTAACCAAAGCAAATGTCATCGGTGTGAACTGATTTACTTAATTCAATTCCCTATTTTAAGACATACAGATAACCTCACAGCTCAATAAGGATTTAGAATGAGAAAAAAAAAAAAATGATGAAGTGGAAAAGGCAGAGTGAGATTCAGGAGAGCAGGACTTTGGTTCCAGCTGTTAGTGTTAAGCAAATTACTTAATTTTGCCTCAAATTATTTTTCTTGTGTATGAAAAAGTGACAGATTTGTGAATGTTTAAAGTTCCTGGAAAGATGGTAGTGAACTATAGAGAGTAAAAATGAAGCATTTTGTAGTTGTCCAATAGGTATCAAGGAAAAAAATCAGTAAGCTAATTAAGATCACAGTAATCAAACAAAATTCACTCAAAATAGTACTATTGCAAGTATTATTTGAATTTGAAATTTTTACTCCAGACATTCCCTCAAAGAAAGCTGTGAGAATGAATTTCAGCAGTCTAACTTGGGTGGACTTGCTCTCAAACAGTGCAGGCTCTGTTATAAAAGGCCTCAACCATGTCCTGGGTGGATGCTGAGAACACCCAAAGGGAGGGGCCCTGACACCACTCCACTGAAGAATGCAAGAAAGACCCTCTCAGTCTCCCATAAGCAATGCTGAAACACTGAGTAGAGCAATGAAAGAAAGAATTTGACAAGAAATCATGATTAATACTGAAAAAGAATGATATTTTAGAAAGCAAAACTTTCTTAAATAATTGCTGTAGCTACTGTGAATTAAGATGGAGAATAGCATTGGCTTGTTACTGTCCTTAATTTTAGGGTTTACATTTTGTTAAAGACTGCTTTCAATTTCCATTTATCAAACTGGAAAGGTCACCATATTTGTCTCTAGGAAAAAAATCATAATTTATTATGCCAAGAAAATAAGAAGAAAAACTACAGATACAAATGAAACAGCAGATGTTAAAATGAAATGAAAACTGAGGATAAGTTGTGTTTTAAGTAAATAAAGAAAAAATATTGAAGGCTTAAGTACAAAATCAAATTTATGATTCAAAAAATATTTTTAGCCATTGCCTATAACGCCCAAGTCAATGTTTCTAGTTTTGAATGCTCCCCTTGCCTCCACACTTAGACTTCCAGTTGTCTGATAGATATTTCTATCTAGATGTCCCTTATAAACTTCAAAGTCTTTCCCTTCCCAAAAATAAATCTGCTTCTCTCCTAAACTCTCCTTCTGGCATCATCACGTTCTCAGTCACCCACATCAGAAATCCAACAATTCCAGGTCCTGACATTTTCTCACTTCCCATGCCTAATCACCAAATCTAGCTCTTTTAAGTTTGTCTCTCTTTCTCTATTTAACGCTGCTTGTAGCCAAATTCTAGCCCTCTTAGCATTCCTCCATATAAATACAAAATACATATTTCCTTCCTTTAATATTGCTCTAGTTCATTCTCTATACTTCTTCCAGCGTAATACACATAAAACGCCAATGACCTTCCAGCTGAAAACTCGTCAGTGCTTCAGTGCTTCCTGCTCACCCTTCTTTCACACACACGCCATAACTTCCTACTTCTTCACATGGATTTCACACCCCTGTCCCACTGCTCCTACCTGCAATGCCCTTGTCCACCCAACCCTGCTTTATACCTAACGCTTATTCCACTTTCAAGAGCCATTTTAGGGGATACCTCCTCTAGGAAGCCTGCTTTTAACACACAGAGTCCTCTGGCCTCAGGCTGCATTAGATGCCTTTCCATTCTTTAATGCACCCTCAATAGACTTTTATCACACAGAAGTTGGTCACATCTATTTATGTGCCTATCTCTTGCATTTGGCAGATATTCCTTGAAGGCAAAGACTTACTACCTTTGCTTCTTAAGATCCTAGCAATGTTTACTGAACTGAACTGAAAATAAATGAAACTATGGGGGAAAAACATATTGGAGGTATGAGAGTATTTTTGAGGATTATAAATGTTTAGGAATAGTAGAATTTTTTTTTCTTACTTAAGCAAATAATACCTCATGGTTTACAAAGTGTTTTCATATAAGTTATATTATTAGATCCTTAAAATAACCCAAGAAGGTAGGACAAGGCAGATATTGAGGCTGACAGAGACCCTAAATACATAAGAAATTTCTCCAAAAAGAGAAATATTATTGATTTTTACAAGGGGAGTGTGTGTGTGTGCATGTGTGTGATGTGTGTGTGTGTTCAGATAGATCTTCATAAGATCAGAGTTCCAACTTCAAATAAATTCTTGTTCAGTCAAAATAGCCAGTTGGTTTCTTCCATAATTACCAAAAAGTTTTCCCAAAAAAGAAAAACTCTCAATTGTTGATAAAAAATTTTCAATAACCTGTTTCCCTCTTTTCACTATTTTCCAAGCAGATTTTGGAAGACAAACCAGTGAATTCAGATTTCTAAAGACAAAGAGAGAACTAATTTACTCTCACCTTCAGAAGGTACACTGGGCTAGACGCCTCCCAAACGTTTTTCTAATTTCTGAAGCTATCCTTTTCTCAGGAGAATGCCAGCAGCTAAGACCAGCTTTTGTCAAAGTCTTCAGCAAACAGAGGGTAACGAATATCGAGGAAGAATGTCACAAAGATTCCTGAAACAAACAAACAAAAAACACAGGACAATGTAAATTTTTTTGGGTTAGTTCATTCTATTAAGCTGAGATTTCATCCTACTCTAGTACGAAAAATTGACAAGGGAGACTTACTACATATCGAATTCCATGATTAATTTTAACCAAGCATGATTGTACTTAATTACATCAATGTCTAATAAATTTTAAGCACCTTAATGGGAACAGGTAATGAAAAAAGGTAACATAATTCCAATTACATTGCAGTGAAGGACATAAGTCTGAATTGCCCCTAAATAGCAGGAAGCAACTGCACACACAAATCAAAAAGAAAAAAAAAGGCACTTGATCTGATTCTACTCTAACGCTTCATGGTAATACACCGTGCTTTACAATCACATCAGCAGCAGGCCGTGGCGGGGAAGAATCTAATACAGACTGAAGAGAACAAACAATGAAGAACTAAGTATTTGATCAAGGTTGACAATGTTAGAGAGGAACTCAGCAATGCAATTACATTTTAGAGGTGGCTTTGAAGGCGGTAAGAAAAGAAGGCATCTGAATAAAGGGGTTGCTGAACACACCATTGTAAGAAAGAAAAAGCATTAAGGTTAAGGTGGAACAGAATAAAACCTTCATTAAACAGAAGCCAACTAACCAGCATGCTTCAATAATATTTTATTAAATATCTCACTTTTATGAGAAAGGGTAAAACCACAGAAGGAATGCTTCAAAAAGCTTTTTTTAAAACCAGAATTTGGGGTCAGTCTGTAGTAAGAAGAGCAGAAACCATGAGTTCTAGACCTGCCTCCACCACTAACAGTATGACCTTGGGCTTGCTAAGTGCTTTTCAACTGGATAAGCTTTTAAAAAGTATCGATGGCTGGGCCACATCCAGACCAAATAAATCCCTGACCAATTAAATCAGAATCTCAGGTGGAATGACCCCCAAATGTCGATATTTTGCAAAAGAAAGTCAGGAAAGATATTCTTTGATGATTCCTCTAGTTCTCACATTGTCCTCTCTACACTTCTGGTACCTGACAATTCATTTGTTTTAAAACAGATAAAATTTAAATTGATAGCATCCAAAACTTTAAAACTCTACAAATTAGTTCCCATTTTCAGAAGGCGGAAACTCAGGGTCAAGAGATACAGTGATTTATGCAAGGTCCAAGCAAAGCAGCAGCATGAGGATGGGGTCAGGTCTTCTGGGGAGGAGAAAGCCAGATGGATCATAAGGTGGGACCAGACATAGCTCTGTTTCAGGCTGGGCTGGGTATGATTCAAAGACATGAGCCACACTGATGACTAGGCAGTGATGAGGGTCATGGGTCTCTGGGCAGGGATGCATAACCACAGGGTTTCTGCTTTTTAAGGAAAAATAGGCTGGGTCCAGTGGCTCATACCAGTAATCCCAACACTTTGGGGGGCCAAGGCGGGCAGATCACCTGAGGTCAGGGTTCAAGACCAGCCTGGCCAACATGGGGAAACCCCGTAGCTACTAAAAATACAAAAAATTAGCTAGGTGTGGTGGCACATGCCTGTAATCCCAGCGACTTGGGAGGCTGAGGCAGGAGAATCACTTGAACCTGGGAGGCAGAGAATACAATAAGCTGAGATGGCACCACTGCACTCCCTGGGCAACAGAGGAAGACTCTGTCTCAAACAAACAAACAAACAAAAAAAGGAACACTAGAAGACCAGGCACAGTGGCTCACACCTGTAATCCCAGCACTTTAGGAGGCTGAGGCAGCTGGATCATCTGATTCCAGGAGTTCAGGACTAGTCTGGGCAGCATGAAGAAACTCTGTCTCTCTTTAAAAAAAAAAAAAAAAAAAAAAAAAAAAAAAAAAAATATATATATATACACATATATATATATACAGAAAGAAAAAAAATTAGCTGGGTGTGGTAATGCACACCTGTGGTCCCAGCTACTCCAGAGGCTGAGGTGGGAGGATGGTTTGAGTTAGGGAGGTTGAGGCTGCTGTGAGCCACACTCATGCCACTGCACTCTAGCCTGGGCAACAGAGAAAGACCTTGTCTCAAAAAAACAAAAAAGAAAAGAAAATAGTAAACTTAGTAGCTAAACTATTGAGCACCTTGTATGAGCTAGACACTGTGCCAAGAAGTGCTTTCGTCCTCAAGAGAACTCTCTGATCCAGGTACTATTAACAACACCAATGTATACATGAGGAAACTGAAGCCAGGAGACATCAAGTCTTGTCTCAAAAATGATGGACCTCGAATTTTAGAATTTTAACAAAGCAACTCTCTCTCCTGACCATGCATTGCCTCCAAGAAATACAGTTCCTGTGCAGGCTGCAGGCAAGGCTGCTCTGCCCTGATATCTAATTTGTCTTTTTTGTCTCACGCATTCTCACGTTGGAAAGTGGAAACAGAAGTCTCCTGGAGTCTCCATGGTGTTTTCAGGTTTTCTCAGGCTAAACAACTAAATTTCTGTTGTTTGAGAGATAATTTTCTTATACACATACTTCCAAATTAGTAGAGTTTAGATGCTGAGATTTAATTACACTGTTTTGGAGAACTTCAGCTCAAGCAGCCATCAGAAGAGTCGTCACTGCAAACTGCCCTATATGACTTAGTCCATCACGATATCTGAGTTTAAATGTCTAACTGAAATCTCTGGAACATCATTCATAATTCATGTATAAAAAATTTTCCTAACATTCTTACATTCATCTTCAACCCTCCTAGAGAAGTATTCATGTTGCAGTTTGCTGCTCCATTACATTTACATTATGTAAATTATTTCCCTTCTTTGTATAGCATTGTTATTTACTATAATAAAATCTAATTTACAAATACGTTGCATATGAAATATATTTTATTTAAGAGGCTAATGCAAAAGCATTACTGTTTCTGACACCTTAGGCATATCCTAATTATATTGTGTCAGAATTATCTTCATGGCTCATTTTAATAATAATGTGAAAAGATGGTTCTTATTAGATACCTCTAGGAAGAAATAGAAGAGTGGTAATAAGAATAAAAACACAATTTTAGGAGATGGAAGGAGGCTGGAAGGTCACTAAATCCAACCATCTATCTGCCTATAGCCCATTCCATTTTTCTCTATGGAACTGGATCTCTCTTCCTGTAGCTTTTACTTATTGCTCACAATTCTGGCCCTTGGAGCCACACCCAGGTTCATATGCTAATGTAAATTTCCCCAGCCACAGCCCACTGCTCAGAAAAACAAGGATAAGCTATTGTCCAGAGGTGCTGCTTGGGGCACAGTGCAGTGGCTCACACCTGTAATCCTAGTACTTTGGGAGGCCTAGGCAGGCAGATCACAAGGTCAAGAGATTGGGACTATCCTGGTCAATGTGGTGAAACCCCATCTCTACTAAAAATACAAAAATTAGCTGGGTATGATGGCATGCCCTGCAGTCCCAGCTACTCAGGAGGCTGAGGCAGGAGAATCGCTTGAACCCGGGAGGCAGAGGTCGCAGTGAGCCAAGATTGCACCACTACACTCCAGCCTAGCAACAGAGCA